TATAAAGGGTGGCAAATTTGTACACATTCCACTAGATCGTATGTTGATGCTGTGAGCTAAAGCACTTACATCTATCGGCGATTAAGAATAGAAATGCATTGACAAGTGAGAAATTAAGAGTAAAGCACTGAGAAGTGAGAACTGAGATGGAAGGTCTTGTTAACAGTCGGTAAAAAGGGTGTCCCTTCATTTTTTGAAAAAATAATAAATCAGCTGACCTAAATTAATTAGAAATAGCTTGGTAGCCATCACATCATTTCCCGGCTTGTTAACATCCATAAATTCCTTAATTATTTGAAATTTAAAAAAATGTGTGTTTTGGTCAGCTGATTTTTTTTTTCAAATAAATGCCACTCAAAATCTATTTGATTGATTACCGTAAAAATTGGTTCATATATGTATTTTTCAATGGAGAAGGTTTATATTTATAAAGTAAAAAAGAAATTGTAGAAAAATATTTGGAAACAAATAAAATTTAAAAAATTTTAAATTAAATTGGATGCGCTTAAATAAAAAAAACGTTGCTCAACACAACCTATGATAAACTTTCAGGAGAACGTCGGGCGAGTTCAGCTAGAATTGAATAAAAAGTTTCTGTTTGAATTATCATGATAAACAGTTTGATATCATCACTAAAGAAAAAAAAATTGTAAAACGTAAAAAGAGGCGTCAAATAGCCTTAGCATGAATGCGTAGAACAGTCATTTCTCATGAATAGATTCACACGGCAAGGTCGTGCTCAAACAAGATTAACTTCAACCGGTTCTAATGTACGTCTTAGCAGCTGCCCTATTGTTGATCCATTCAAGGTATATGCATAATGAATTCTACGATACCAAGCAGTGCATTTATGTACATTACGTACGTATCTATAGGGTTGCATAGTTATAAGCTTATAACCTTATAAGGTACGGTGGGACTGGCACATATATCGCGCAATTTCCCTACAAAAAATTCGAATTGAGAAGTTTTTCCCTTTTTTAAGTCGGCTAATCCTGATTGAAAATCAGTGGTTCGTGTTATTAAATATAATGAATGAACTATCATATTTTTAAAGAAAAATATGATCTAGTTTCAATCAGAATCACTAGCAACGCTTTTAACATTATAAGTAATATACTCGTAAGCACACAAAGGTCGCTTAAAATGCTTGTTGACGATTGAATGGCGGATTCGAATCCATGAATCTTTCGGTTCATAAGCTGACCCATAATCATTTTTACAGCTGATGAAAGAATGGGGATAAGAAATGCAGTGGTGGTGGTAATATGCATTAAATACATGCTGCTTGTTTTTTATACCGTTGAAGGGACAACTCTTGTCGCAACCACGTGCTACGTTTGTACGTGGTATAGCCATGCTTTATTGATTTTAGCACAAACGAGTCGAAGAGGACGGGTAGAGTAAACCTTTTTACTGGTTACGAGGCATAGATATCATTTTCTACCATCACACCTTATGGGTGACAACGCATCAACATTTTAATCAAGGAAAAAATTTAGATGTTTATGGGCCACAGTGTCCACTTAGTACCAGGTGGACTGTGTACTCATTTATCACCCTAAAAAAATTGACTCAAATTCCAAAAAAATATATAAAATAGTGCCTAACAGCTATTACAACATTCGGGGTTAGACACCCGCAAATAAGTTGAAATGAAAAAGCCAATGATTTGATTTGCAGGTCCGTTTTTATTTTACGTCGTATCGGTATCTTTTTTTACGTATTGGAAGTTAAAAGTGACTAAGACTGTGTATTTCCGTATCAATAGACCTTTGCTCCAAATTCGAAGTAATTAAATACAATTGAAGTGATATTAACGCGTCGACGTTTAGCGAGTTTAACGAAGGACCTAATTGATCGTTAGTAAACGTAAATACCTATACACTTGAGGAAAAAATTCCATCAATAATTTTCCGTTTTCTTAAATATTTTAAAATGAAGGGGAGTGATCATTGTTCATTTAGATTTTTAAGACTTTTGATTTAATCTAGTCAAAATGTTATAATATACCCAATATACCATAATATATTAACAAAAAACTAAGAGAAGATTTTTGATGTATAACCATTTACAAATATTTTGCAATATATTTTTAAAATTTTACTAAAAGTTGGTAAATATAAACGCTTATTTAACAAATAATTTTTTCTGTGCCAGTTAATGCACAAAGTAACATTTGAATATGTTTTTTGGCAATTTATTTATTGATTTGCACTTTAGGCGTTGTTTAAATAATTCTTATGCATTTACTTTCGACTCCCCATTTTCATTATTCCATTAGATACAACCTATCAAAGACCTCTGCTGTACTTGTCTCCTTGATATATTGCTTCAGTGATCCCCCCCTATTTCGCCATTTGCCATCGTTGCCAAGTTTAACTGTTTTCTCTTACGACTCCCATGGGATGATATGGGGTAATGGGATCTCTAACGCCGCCACTACACGGCAAACTGTTGATAGTTTCGACACAATAAATGATAGTACACTACTATCAGCAGCGAAAACAGGAGATACATAATTTACATAATTTATGCGATCAAATCAAAAGTATTTTTCAATGAAATGTCTGCGATAGTCATGATGGGTACAATATATACACTAAGTGTTAGTGTCGAAAGACGATCTGCGACTAAGTAGGTAGAGTATAGATAAACACTTTAAGGAAAACAAAAGAACAATGTATCATATTATCTGTTTGCAATACTCGTAAAATCGAATATTAAAAGAGAAAATGTATACCCATATAAGGAAGTCTCCTCGAGAACACTTATAGTAACGTTACGTGGAATAATTTATTTTGTAATTATTGTAATTCATTTTAATCTTTAATCCAGTATTCTACCACACCCAACTTTACTAACATACATTAAGGTATGTATTGATGCTGTGTTAGTACCTTAATACATGGAGTGAAAGTTGGGTGTGGCAGAAGAAGATTGATTGTAGAATTTATGCTGTGGAGCAGGCACTAAGGAGTGTGGTTACCTAGGGGTGACTCTGAAGGATAGGGTGGGAAATTGTGTGATAACAGTGGCTTGCAAGAAGATATCGTGACCAGGATTAATGAAGGAACGCTTTTGTGGTTTGAACATGTAAAAATAATAAGTAAGGAAATATTTAGTAAGCAAATTTATGCTGCTAAAGTTAGTGGTAGAGTCGGCTAGTGGCTATAGAAGTTTATTGACCAAGCTGGCGATATTTTAAAGATGGGCCAAATTAAACACGAGCATGTTATTAAGTGCGAGCGGACGAGCATGTATGTTTAGATATATGGATCTGAAGGAAGGAAGAGCGGTGTGTCCTTAGTATCTGCCTAAATACGGTAAATGTGACAAAGTTTATCAAAAATACAAGGGAGGCGTGCACAGTTTTAAATTAAACGATCTCTGCCTTGTTGATTAACGAACAAGGCTCTGACGATCAGATCTGATCGAATAATATCCAAATGCCGTAAATTGAGAGGGGAGTAGTATTATTAGAGGGAGTATATTGCGAGGGCATCGTCTTGTCTACTGTCTGCCCAACGTGGTTTTGAGCAACTCTATCACAAGAAACATGACTGAAGGTGCATTACCTAGCAGTACCTACACTTCTAAATGCTTACAATGCGATGTTATCAAAGTAATAATAAAAAGTAAGTATTGAATTTGTATTTGTAATAATGACTTGAGAAATGTATATAGAGAAAAATAAATACAATTTTAGATTAGTAAAAGGAATAGGTACCAAAAATTACGAAAGAGAGACGAAAACCGAAATACGTCCTAAACAATAAAGATCTACTTTGAGTTTTCATTCCCTTTATGTAACTATTTTTTTTCAAAGCTGGTTAAAATAAAGGATCTAGCATAAAAGCATAATTCCATTGAGTCCATGAAGCCCAACCGAGCTCATAAATATTCTTTAAACCCGTGTGTTTACTCGTTCGTGTACTGCATGCATGTAAGTAAACGCGTCTTCCAAGATGTGAATAACAATCTATTATTCACATCGACCGCTATTCAAATAATTGCAATATATTATTGTTATACAAACACGCGCTATGTCGTAGTTGCATGTGTGTCACGGTTGCTTACTTCCCTGGTGTCAAAGTCAGCTATGCGTTATGTCATTCAAAGTAAGCTATGCGACAATAATCGTGGGAGTTTATTTTTTGAACCTTGGGTGGCAAAATGGTGGCGATGTAGAAAAAAAAATAGACTATTTTTAAAGTTGACTTTTGTCTCGATGTTGTTGGACTCACTGAGTTTGTATTGAATTAGACAATTATGTTAGGATTTTATGAAAATTTTTCCTTAGTAGTTTTGATCCAATGAATAAATTTTTGTTGAGATTCACAACAAAATGATTATAAAGATTGAGTTAGAATCGAAATAAGCAAATAAGTGGCTAAGTTTTACGTTTAGTATGTATTTATATACTTATGTTTTATCGGGAATGTTTATGTGTTGATTATACAGGCTGACTTATCCTATCTTTGGGGAGATATTTCGTTTTAATGCTAAACTAAAGCAATCCCCTCTGTTGTTATCTAATCTGTAAGCTATTAGGCCTCGAAGCTTATATATCACTGTCTGGCTTATGTAATAGGTTTCTAGCAACTTCAATGTAGGGAACTCTACGATGTTTTAAATGGAATAAGGACGAAAATGGCTAATCAAGTGATACGAGCTAGAGTATCGGTATGCAGGTTATTACTGCAGACTGTTTGATAAACAATACCGCCCACCGTTGCGCCGGGCATGTAGTCACTGTGTTTAGAAAATGTGCAGCTGTCCGCACTTTCACCTCGCCCTGTGTGCGGATCGCGTGCGGAACTGATAATGTCGCCACCCGGAATGTCCTCTCGGGAATACGTTGTTACTCATTACGCGTAATGACGTTCTAGCTCTGTTTTAATATACTGCGTACTGCTACTGTATATATATTAATGTGTTTAACAGTAGAGCTTAGAGTTCTATGGTGGTTTTCGATGTTTATTTAATATGGTTGATTTTTAAATGGTATATAGATAGGCCACGTGACATCTGGGCGCAATGCGGGGTCGTTGGCCGGCATTGATCGCGCTGTTTGTAAACATTGCAGTCTGTTTTGTGTAGGGATCTAATTTTTGGGACTTCAAAGAGCTTAAAGCAGAAAATTCAAGGTTTTTTAAACTTTTTAGTGGAAATATGGTTTCATAAAAGGGACTCACCTGAACTATCTGGGCACTGTCCTTGTCGAGCAGGAACTCCATGGATTTGTGCGGGCGCGGCGAGCGCTGGTCGGGTGGCGCGAGGGCGAGTAGCGAGCGCGCGTGCAGCACGGTGCGCTGGGTGTCCACGTCGGTCTCCAGCACGCCCGGCGCGGGGCGGGGCGGCGGGCGCAGGCCGCGGCGGCTTGTGCGCCACGCCGCCCCCGCCGCGGGGGCTCCCGCGGTCCGCGACACACCCTCCTCCTTCAGCGGGATGCGCACGTACTGCGGCCCGGCGGCCGCCGCGCGCGCTCCGTGCCCCGCATCTGCCGTCACGGCGACTCCGCCGGCCGGCCGCCCGTTCGCGCCTGCGCCCCTCGGCTTCTTCTCTTTGCGACCCGAAAATCGGAAGTTCGCGAACCGCGACAGGAAGCCCGCGATGCGACTGCGCGGCGCGCGCGCGCCCGCATCCGTCATGTCGATGTTGCGCTCTGCGGCCGGCGCGCGCGGTGACTCGCCTCCCCCCTCCACGACCACCACCTCCGCGTCCGCCGCGTCGTCGCTCGCGCTCGTCGTCGTGTTCTCGCTCGTCGCGCTGCTCGTGCTCGTCTCCCGCCAGCTCACCTCGGCCACCACCGGCGAAAATGTCACTCCTTTGGAGCCGGCGGACACGGAGCGCGCAGGCGGCGCGGCGTCGGCCTGAGGCGGGGCCACTAGTTGTAAGGACGCGCGCAACTCTTCCGGCGTCTCGCGATGAGAGGTTGCGCGGATGCTTAATTCGGGAGTGGATCGGACGCGAGCATCGCACGACGATCGGAGCGGCGTCGACGAGAATACGGGTTCTCTAATAGGGTCCGGGGAGGGGGAGCGTGGTGGGGACGGCGTCGGGGAGGAAGGCTCTATCCGTCGGCGGAGTTCGTTGAGCACGTCGTCCCACGCTCCCCACGAATCTCGCAATCGTTTCGCGGTTAACACAGATAGTCCTCTATCGAAATCACCGGTTTCAGCGAGCGCCCTCATAGCGTTCTCGTCGAGACGCCGCGCCGTCGTTTCCATTTCGCGGGCGAAAGCTTGTTCCGATTCGGTCGTTGAATTGCTCTCTGCACTCGGTTCGCGGGGCAGGGGCGGAGATGGTTGTCGCACGAGGGTTTCTACAGGAGGCGGTGGGGGTGGCTGGCGAGTGGCTCGCGGCGGAGGAGGCGGCGGCGGCGGGAGGCGCGGGCGCCTCGGACCGCCGCGGTAGTCTAGTGCCGTAAGGTCCGCCACGCTGACGGTGAGGTTGTCGGACACTTCGAAGGTCTGGCGGAAGCGTGCGCGGTGTGTGGTGTGTCGGCGAGGCTCAGCGCACACGTCGAGCTCGGCAGGCAGCGAGAGAGCGCGCGCAGCACGCGGTGGCCGCCGCCCGGCACTGGGCGAGGCGAGGCAAGGCGCGGAGCCGGCGGCGGTCGGCCCCTGTGCTATTTCTGTCGAACCGCGCTTGGCAGGTGGCGGCGGGCGTCGCGCGCGTTCACTGTAACCACTGTCTTCGCTGAGGTTCTCCGCGGACAAATGTGTGCGAGGGGCGGGGCGTTTTGGTGGAGGTGACGCCGGCGGCGACTCGAGGGAATCCGGCGACAGACTAGGAGAGGCCGGTGCGGCGCAGGAGCGCTCGAGAGACTCGAACTGAGCGAGGCTTGAAGAGCGCGAGAGCGAAGCCGAGCTGGTGGGCGAGGTGGCTCGCTCCCTGCGGCGCCGTTTAGCCGGGCATGCCCATTCCCGCTCCGACTCGCTGTCGCACTCTGATCCTACGAAGAAGTATTCCACTCAATAAAGAAACACAAATTCACAGTCCGTCGCGTCTAGCCATACTGACGACGACAATGACAATGAGACCGATTTTTAGGACATGCATGCTTATAACGTATGACTTGGATTTGTTCCAAGAGGATTCGGGAATGAAGTAAATTGAAAATGAAGCTATGAAGAAAGTGTGCGAAATAAAATAATTGATATCAACTTGTGATCGCATTTAGTATAACACGTTTTGATAAATTAATTTATAGCAAATTAGTTAAATCTATTGATTATATTATTAGTAGAAAAATATAATATAAATTTATATACATTTAATTACAGAAAGCAAAAATAAAACTATATAATTAACGCCATCTACACCATATTATTTGAAGCAACTGCTATGAAAGAAAGCTTTTAGCGTGGTGCTTCTTGACGGTAGATGGCGCCAGCTATCTGAAAATTTATGTTTGTTAAGTTATTGTGTAAATTATATGAACATAATTACCTCCAGCTCCTCGCACGTGTATGACAGAATCGGCGTCTGAATCTGAGAGCCAAGTTGCAGCAGAAGAACGTTCGGAACGCAAATCATCGCTTGTTTCCTCGACTATAGTTTCGAGGTACAAAGCGTGAGTGCTGCCACTGTCACCTGTGATCAAACAAAGAAGTTGCATTGAAATAATATTTAATAACGCTATTCGACGACAGGTGGCGCTAAAAATAAAGCCTTCAAATTCATTGTTTTACGGTACTTTTATTGAATGTTGTAAGCTGTATACAAATTTAGACATTTAAATATAATTGTTAATTTTGAAATGTATAATATTGAATTATTGGTCTGGTGAATTAGTGGGTTGGTGGTATTAGTCAAGTCTATAAGGTCCTACCTAAATAAGATATTGAAACGCATAGCAACTTTTTTGATATAATTAAATACACATTTTTTGCATAGTTTTTATAAAACTTAAACTTAATTAAGGAAGCATTTAAATGTTTTACATATTTATACATACACAATACAAGTATCGTATCCGCCATAGAATACTATAATTACATATTCTGTGGTATCCGCGATCCGTAGTACTGAGCCGTCAGTGCAATATAACCATTGTCACAAAATATATAAATTGTTAAACTATCGTAAAAACATATTCATTGACATCCACTGCTGACCAGAAGTTTTTCCTAGAATGCGCCAACTGGCAGGCAATACTTAGATAATACTTAAAAGATTTATTTACTTAGGTACCCACCCACCTTAAGCTGGCTACATTCGTTGCATTGTGTAAATGTATTAATATCGCGATAACTAGTTGATGTCTTTTTTACCTCTGTATTTTGTTTTAGGTGCAAATTATTATTATTACAAAAACGCAGTTGCAAAGTAATTTCCACTGGCAATCGATAACAACCAGTGTTACACAACTTCATTGAAACGCCATACAAGGCCCGATAGCCTCGCACCCATTTTTTAATTTTTCTCATTTAAAAAGGGATACTTTGTTGAGAATTAAATATCTAAGTATGATTCCGCACGGTTAATCGGTTTAGTGAAAAATTTTTATGTAGAAGAATTTGCAGTATCTGTTGAATTTGTAGCGATTTTGACAAATCCTTTTCACAACGGGAAAAGCCCATCTGCAGCAGTAGACTGACATATAAAAAAGTAGAAGAAAATCCTTGTCAAAAGATTAGTACTAAGGCGCATTCTTTTTCTTGAGAACTAAGACAAAGTTGCGGTCTGCCTTTTCATAGAATTTCACTATTTATTTCAATGGTAAATGTAAATATGTCCACGCACATTTTAATTTAAAACCAGACCGGTTTTGCCTTTTTGGGGCATTTTTAAGATTGTAATATAACGTTAATCGCTTTAGATGGCAATAATAATTCATTACTTTTTATATTTGCTAGAATAAGTAAAAAAAAACATTGAAGGATCAAATTGTAGTTGTTTGCAAATAAACAAAACTATACCCTCAAATTAATGTTTGTATTTTATGGAATTAAGCAAAAACGAGTACTACTGACTTGACACTGGCAGAATTCTATCAAGAGAAGCCATAATTTAAAAGAAGAAGAAGAAAACGAGTACTAAGATGGAATGCCTCGTATCCACTATAAAAGGTCTCCGGTTCTCTACCCTCACCATACGAAACACTGCATTAAAGCTTTTTTTATACCCTCGATCACAATAAAGAAAAGTTTTTTATTAGTGATCATGATTTACGCGAACACTACACATTTAAATTTTTTTTTATTTTTTATTTATTTAATAAGACTTACCAACTAAATACATATAGAAACAATTATTATGAGGTGCACTTAAAAAATTGTATATATGCATTTAATTAAAGGTAAACACAACATATAATAAAAGACTTCCTTTAAAGGAGAACAGTAACCTATAAAACTATCACTACAATAAAATAATAAAATTAGAACAAACAAAAAAACTTTTAAAATGAAAAAAATATTTGGCTGTGTAATGTGTTAGTACCTTCCTCTTTAAAACATTTAAGCTATCAAAATGGATATCCACATCACAATTTTGAAATGTTGAATTGAATGCATTCAACAAGGATGATAAAGGTGTGTTTCTGCCATATTCATTACGACTCTTTTTAACATGAAACGGTTTGTAGTTATGTAGACGTGCACTAATTCTTGGAACAGTGATAAATAACTTGTAAATAATACAAGTTGTTACGGATTTTATCGCGTACATTAACTTTTTTATATACCCGACGTTTCGAACAATTAACAGCACCCATGGTCACGAAGGGCGGGGGGGGGTACTGAGATGTTCAACGTCCAGATGTCATAGTTAACCGCGGATACCACAGATAAAATTTTTTTTTGTTCCAATCTACGCAGTATGTATAACTTATAACTAATTATCTTGAAATCTTGCAGTTGTATGCTTGAATTGGGATTTAATTTTATTAATTATAGGACCCAAGCAGATGGTAACACCCAGCCATCTTCTTTATTCAAATTTGGATGTTTTTCGCTTTCAATAGCCTCGCGAATCATCCGTGGAAGGAATCGGTGTTTTTTAGCGAGGATTTGTGATCTATCAAATCTGATGTAGTGACGGAGGATGTACGTGTTCACGGACTGCAGACTTACCGGACCGTCGATTCTTCACGTCAGCTATATGTTCTTTCGGGTAACGTAACGTTCTTTCGGGTTTCGGGTAAAAACGTCGGGTATTTAAAAAGTTAATATAAGCGATAAATTCCGTAAAAGCTAGTATTATTTAAAAAAATCATTAAAGCTGCTGTTTTACTCTGGTATTCTGTGAGGGGAGGGTGTGGTCCTTCCCGATTGAGCCGACCTATTTGAGCTGCAACCATAATATACCTGCAGCATGGCTCTACCACGATTCCACCTAGTGGACGGTCTAGTATTCTTTTTCCCAAGATGACCGTCCCATCCTCGTATACATGACAAAATATTGAAGTAAATAGTTTATAATTTAATGATTTCACAGAAATAGTAATAATATCTTATTATTACGATTTCTGTGAATGATTTCTTATATTTACGCGAAAGCACTGCACATTAAATAAAACTATGTATACCTACGGATTTTATCGGGTTTAATTAACTTATTTTTAATTCCCAACGTTTCGAGTGCTTTACAGCACCCATGGTCACGGGGGTGACTGAGATGTTCAACGTCCAGATGTCATAGTCAACCGCGGTTACCACAGATTAAAATTATTCATTTGTTTTGTTCTGATCTAAGCCGTGTAGTGGCGGTTAAGAATATCCACTACCCCATATCTTCCCGTGGGTGTCGTAAGAGGCGACAGAGGGAGACAGGCAGGAGATGGGCAGCAGCGTCTTCCTGATGACAACTGTGACGTAATAAAAAACTGCGGTTGCCAACCCGCTCGCCAAGCGTGGCAACTATGGCAAATACCCCCCAATGAATAAATACACAAACAGACGGCCCCCAGTCCCCGGCGGCCCCGCTATTCCTGGCTACGGTGGCGACCATGGTAACGGCGGGGCAGGGGGGTGCTAAGAATCTCCGGTGGAGGTTCGGTTGCCACCTACGACGACTCGACCTGGCAACATATAACGCACGCACCCTGAGGACTGACGAGAAGATACTGGAGCTGGAAGAAGAGGTAGACAAGTTGCGCTGGCATATTATTGGATTATCCGAGGTCCGAAGAGAGGGGGAGGACACGGCAATCCTCGAGTCCGGCAACTTGTTCTATCACCGGGAGGGCGACCATCTGTCCCAAGGAGGTGTCGGATTTATCGTCCACAAATCTCTCGTCAACAACGTTGTAAAGATTGGGAGTGTGTCGACGAGGGTCGCGTACCTGATACTCAGAATCACCAAACGGTATTCGCTGAAGGTCATTCAGGTTTACGCACCAACCTCGGCACATCCCGATGAGGAGGTGGAGGAAATGTATGAGGATATTTCCAGAGCCATACATTCCTCCAAAACCTACTACACGGTGTTGATGGGAGACTTCAACGCAAAACTGGGCACAAGAGAAAGCGGTGAGCTGAAGGTAGGGAAATTTGGAGTAGGGCAACGGAACCGAAGGGGCCAGCAGCTGGCCGACTTTATGGAGAAAGAGGGACTCTTTATGATGAACTCTTTCTTCAAGAAGCGGCCCCACAGAAAGTGGACCTGGTCGAGCCCCGACGGTTCGACAAAAAATGAGATTGACTTCATTATGACGACCAGACGCCAACTGTTCAGTGATGTCTCAGTGATCGCAAGGGTGAAAACTGGCAGCGATCACCGAATGGTTAGAGGCACACTGAACCTAAACGTTAAGTTGGAGAGGTCTCGTCTAATGAAGTCAACGCTCCGTCCCCCTCGTGCTCTAATCCAGAATCCCGAAACCTTTCAGCTCGAGTTACTTAACCGCTTCCAGTGCCTAGAAGATTGCAATGCAGTGGACGATATGAACGACAAGCTCGTGGAAACTGTCCATGCGGTCGGAGCTAAGTTCTGCAAGACCCGCCGCAGAAGAACACAAAAACTCTCCGATCACACTCTTAATCTCATGGCTGTTAGACGGGAGATGAGGCTGCAATCGTCAACAGATTTGACAGCATACAGGCAACTGAACAGACAGATCTCCAAATGCATACGGCGAGACTTACGCAACTTTAATACTTCTCGTATTAAAGAAGCGATCGAGCGGAACCAGGGCTCCAAAGTCTTTGCCAGAGATCTGTCTGCCAGAAAGAGCCAACTGTCAAGGCTGAAGACTGAGTGTGGCAACATCGTTTCCGGGACACCTGAGATTTTGAGTGAGATTGAGAGGTTCTATGGGCAGCTGTACACATCATCGTTGGAGCCACACGCAAGTGTGAGTAACGATCCAAGAGCAAGTCTTATCCGACACTATTCCGATGATATCCCGGACGTCAGTCTAAGCGAGATTAGAATGGCTCTCCAGCACCTTAAAAACGGCAGGGCCCCAGGCGAGGATGGAATTACAGCGGAGCTTCTGAAAGCGGGTGGAACACCGGTACTTGAAGTCCTTCAGAAGCTCTTCAATTCCGTCCTCCATGGTGGCACTACTCCAGAGGTGTGGAGCAGAAGTGCGGTAGTCTTGTTCTTTAAGAAAGGCGACAACGCTCTCTTAAAGAACTACAGACCGA